GATTTCGCTGGGGCTGCGTGGCTACAGATAAAGGCAGAAAGCTGTTTGAAAGGACACAAGGGCTTTAATAGTAACTCCAGTACTAACCACATGACAATCTCGTATTTTAAAATTTCAAACCTCTCTCTGTAGAATCAGAGAACATTGTGTTCTGAAATGGGGAAAAGGTCTCCCGATTTAGGGAAATAATATTCCCTCCAAGTCTAGAAGGGCATGACATTTTCTCCTTGTTTGATTATATTAAGTATATTAAATATGACCTAAATTTTTAAGGTTGCTCAAGCTGAGAGAGTTCAAAGGATTTTGAATGACATTTTTTTCAATTTATTTTTGTTAAGCCTTTGCAATAATTGTAAATAATCACTCTTATAAAGGACAAATGGCAGGGGTCAAGTAATCCTTCATATACATGAGTGTATGTTTCTGTGCTAAGGAAAATCCATAAAAGAAAACGGAATAGAGATACTTAGATCAAAATTTAGCTAGCATTTATCAGAGAAATTAGGATTTAACAGTCCTTGGCATTTAAAGCAAAAAGCCCAAGAAAAATATATGGCATCATAAAACATTATTGATATTCAGGTGGCAACAGCTTATCAGGAATACCAGCTTCTCAATGTAGTTCTTCACCTTTAGAAAATAGGGTTCGGTTTTTATTTTTATTATTATTAAAATGAGACAATAGGAACGGCTTAGCACTATCATAGGTGATAAAGAGACGTAACCTTTCATCTATTAGTAACCAAAGTTTGGCTGGCTTAATGTTGAGGCCTGGAAATTTAAAGAAGGAAATTTGAAAGATTAGGTTGTTAATAGTCTGTGTTGATTATGGGATTATTTTAGAAATATCTGAGGTAACTGAAAAATTAGTTGTGCAAAATCCCAAACTTGCTTTATTCTCCAGCCTTACTGATGATTGATTTTTATTGTAAGTGTTGCCAACTCTTACGATTTTATCCCATCCCACAAAATTTGATGTTTTCTTTAAAGATCCTGCTCCTAGAGTCAGGTAATTAGTGGGTTTGGGGTTTTTTTTAAGCATACAAGCTCTCCCAACCCCCTCCATGTTTCTAGCCCTCATAGTGGAGGAGAAGAGCCTGAAATTATGAAATCTAAAGTCTTAAAAACCAGAAAGCAAATATAAAGATTTTTTATTTGTTTTAGAATCTAATTTTTAAGCCAATCTCATGATATTTTATAAATTGAGTTTGGCAATAATGTTGTGTGTTGTGAAAGTGACAACAGACAACTAAGCTCTCAACTTTTTTAACCTCTTTAACAGAAAAATCATCTCTAGCAGTAAATTTCAGGTATCCTAAAACCTGAATATGTCTGTTTTTTAATTTTTTAATGGTTTTTTATTTACACTTGTTATCTTAGAGTTAGAGCAGGGGTCGGCAACCTTTTAGAAGTGGTGTGCTGAGTCTTCATTTATTCACTTTAATTTAAGGTTTCGTGTGCCAATAATACTTTTTACAGAAAACCTCAAAGAAAGATATTTTTTTTCAACTGAAATTTCACAGGGGAAAAATTTCAGTTTTCCCATGAATTCTGCTCATTAGTTAAGAACTGCCTTAAAACTAATCCACAGTCAGAGACTTGATTTGGCAGGTCTAATTTTTAAAGCCAGTGGCTCCTAGCTCTTCTGATGTAGTGTAATTAGAGAGGTGTTTGCAGTAGCTTGTACTGGGATGTTGGAATATTGCAATGTGTGAGACATATGAGGTGCAGAGCAAAGGATGCAAGAAACCCTTTGCCAGAATGTGACTCAGCTGCTTTTACACCCATCTGCCCAGTCTCCTATAGGTTTAAATGGGATTTTTGGTTTATGTTTCCAATTATGTGGTTTTAATCATGGGTGGTGTGGACAAAGTGAATAAGGAAAAGTTATTTACTTGTTCCCATAATATAAGAAGTAGGGGCCACCAAATGAAATTAATGGGCAGCAGGTTTAAAACAAATAAAAGGAAGTTCTTCTTCACACAGCGCACAGTCAACCTCTGGAACTCCTTGCCTGGGGAGGTTGTGAAGGCTAGGACTATAACAGGGTTTAAAAGAGAACTGGATAAATTCATGGAGGTTAAGTCCATTAATGGCTAGGATGGGTAGGGAATGGTGTCCCTAGCCTCTGTTTGTCAGAGGGTGAAGATGGATGGCAGGAGAGAGATCACTTGATCATTACCTGTTAGGTTCACGCCCTCTGGGGCACCTGGCATTGGCCACTGTCAGTAGACAGGATACTGGGCTGGATGGACCTTTGGTCTGACCCAGTATGGCCATTCTTATGTTCTTATGTGCTCTCAAAGGTTTGGAAGAGACTGAAATAAAATATTTCATTCACAAAGCTCTGCCTTGAGTGTATTTAAAGATATGCCCCTCGTGCGGTGAGACCAAAGCATATGCCACTGCTGAGCCGGGTGCATGGCTCCACCTCCCGCTACCGTGTGAAATGTTAGGATTAATCCAATGCATTTAAATCAGATTGCTGTAATATAAATTCACTGCGATACGTTACACTGGAATAGGCAGTAACTCGTATTCCTAGCACTGTTGGTCAGCATCTTGCATGCGGCTTCCCAAGTGTTCATTTTCAATATCTACAGCGTGCCTGCTTCTCAATTGAAAGTGTCCCTTCGGCTTATGTAGGAGTAACTTTCCTGGAGTGAGTAAACGGAGGTGGATTTAGCTGTACTGCACCTGTGCTGAGGAGAGAGAGAGACAACATAGCTCACTGGTGTGAAGAGATGAAAGAGAGAATATTTGAAGTCATCCATGTTCAGGAATGCTCAGCAAGTGGCAGAAAGAAAGACATGGCTCAGTAGGGTTTTTAAAAGTGCAGTAGAATGCACAGTACAGCAAGAATCCAAATACTCAAATGGCATAAGCAAGGAGACAGAGGCAGTGGCTCCCAATACCAAATTAAATGCTATGCTGGATGATGGATTTTTTTGTATTGCTTTTGATGTATTTTTAAAGTTTTTAATGTAGAAATAGATATTGAAAGATGATAATTTTCACCTTATAAAATGAGGACTGTTGCCCTATTATTAATAGTTATCTGTACTACAGTATTGAAGGGTATTAGTGTGCTAACATGCAGGGCAGTACCTGGACCCCAGTACACAAGGAGTTAACACCAACTTCACTTTCCCCTCCCCTTGGAAAATCCTCCTGGGAAGGGCTGCTGAAAAAAGAGCAGAGGTGAATGTTTATGGGTCGGCCTGGGAGCTGAGTGATTCCATTTTGCTTATGGAAACATGCACTGATTTTTATCAACAGAGATTTTCTTCTGCTGATTCCTACTTAATTAGTCCTCCTGTGACACCCCCAGCATACACTGGTGTTGTGTTCACAGCATATACACAGATAAGTTAGTTAAAAACAGAAATATTCTTGCTGGAAGGCTACAATGTAATACTGCTTTTTTTCTTAGAAATCAGAACAATATTGCACAAGAACCCCAAACAGAGGACGAAAACAGGCTGCTCCCTAAGGCAGAGAGGCACAACTCACCCCATCTTGCTTTAATTGGCTCTCTTCAAATTGACTCTGCTTGCGTGCACCACACTTTGCAAGCAGGACTGGTATCTGCCCCTGCTTCTCCTTCCACACTCTTAAAGTGATAGCTTCCAATTCCAACACAGTCCTCCTTCCTGGAAGAAGCTAGTTTACAATAAGCAATTTAATTTGGGTGAAATTCAGATGTTGGCTATTTTAATTAGGAGGGAATAATTTAGGGACCAAAAAATATATGCCGACTAAAACTTTGAAACTCGAGTGCCCAATAGAGCCTAGGCACTGAACTGAGAACCTGTGGCAGCTGTGAGGGCTCACTAAAAGTAAGGCTGCCTTTACTTAAGTCTCTAAATGTGGATTTAGGTGTCTAACTTTAGGTACCCAGATTTGGAAATTTGTCCATAAATCCCAGACAAACCTTAGTTAAGACTGAGTTACTATTAGAAATAGCGCCCTTAAAAATTATGTTAACAGAACGCTGTGCAGCAGTTAAAAGAAACAAAATGTTTAAAAGTCAGGAAATTCAGTGAAGGTTCATTACCACCCTTAACTCTGACCCCTGTATCTCACCTTATGCCAGTTGCATTTTCTTTATGGGCCACAGGCATTGCTAGACCCACCTACATCCCGTGTCTTGACTGGTAAACAACACTTGTGTATGGACTAGATGTTCAATCCTCCCCCAGTTCAACCAGCAGTTCTGAACACAGACACCAACATCCTACTTCTTATGATCTCATACAGGCCAGAGGCACAATCGACCCTCCATGCATCCTTCTGCTACAGACTAGAGCCTACATAATTTTGCACCTTACATTTTAAAGCCCAATAAGGTCTGAAGACCCCAATTTTACCCCGCCCTCCTGATTCAGGCTAGAAAAGCTTCTGTAACTAGCCTGTTCATCCTCCAAATAAGGGTCTGAGCATCCAGATACAGGCCAGAGATCCACCTTACTCCATACACCTTATAACTTCTGGCCAGATTGCCAGGTAAAGACAAGTGGGTGTGGAAACACTTTCTTCAACTCCTGTCCTATAGAAAGGCCCCACACCAATGTGTAGTTCTTGCTAGGCAGCTTTCTTATGCCCGATGTCCACACACATTGCACTTCAGGTTGGTCACCAAGTCAAGTGAAATTGTGATGTAGGAAAAGGGGATTGAGGCTCACTCTTGGAGTCCATCTCCAGGTGTGGCACAGTTGGGACACTGCATGATGTCCTAGTAGCTGGTAAATTGTCGGTAGCAATCATCTATGTCATGCCTGTTGACATTAACACTCTAGTGCAGGGGTTTGATCCCAAGAAAACAAGGATCCATCTGCCCCGGACAGCCTGCCCCAGACAGCCTCTTGTGGTGTGGTGCAGAGATTCCCTCATACGCAACGTGAGCCAAAATGGACAAACTTGCTTCTGTGCTATTTAATCTGCTTTTTACTTCAAACAACACAATTACATTTGTTTTTTCCCCTCCTTCTTTGTTACAGGTTGACAAAGTGTGTGGACAGCCCCAAGAAAGAGAAGCAAAACCTTCACCAGATAATATAGTGCAAGCAAAAGACATGGCTGAAACCCAGGCTCTCACGATGGCTCACTCTGCTAATCTAAACAATAAAAGGAGGTAACCCTACGTGAAACATATCTCTAAGTGCATTGAAATAAACCTTATTCCTCATAGTTTGCATTAACTATTTCTCATGCAGGAGTGTTTAAACCCAATTCTGTCCTCTGATATCCACCCACAACAGTCTTAGGCTTTCCTCGGAGGTGGTGCTAGTCCATTGGGGGCCCTAAACTGGAATCTTGTTGGGACTCCCCACACACAACACATAATAAAAAGCAAATAAGGGGGCCCCTTGAGCTGCTTGGGGGCCTAAGGAATTGCTTAGTCTGTTTAGGCCTAGCGCTGGCTCTAGCTTTCCTGATAGTTACATAGATGTATTTGAGGGAATAATTGGTCCCTGTAGTGCTTTCCAGTTGAAGCCTGACAGTATTTCTTGCAGGCCAGTCCTGATGTCGTTAATCAGTATTGACTCAGTCTTTAATTTGGCAAACTCTTATCGTAAACAATGGGAGCTTTGCCAGAGTAAAAACTGGGTGACTTCAGGACATTGCCCTGTAGGAGTCCATTTGCTCCTGGCCTTTAAGGACAATTGATATTGGGATGGATCATCCATGGGATGGGCTGCATGTGGGGGGAAGGGGGAGATTTCCATGATGCAGCGTTACTCCCCTTTTCTGTAGTGGAGGAAAGAATTTGGCATACACATTCCTCCCCCAGTTGATTAGGTAGTGGGCTTCTGGTGAATTTTCAGGGATTGAGCAAGGCCAGGTCCATCTGCGTGTAGGCCCTGTGCCTCCACGTTGGCTCCAGCCTTCCAGCCACCTGTCAGTGCAGCTACAAAGTAGCTGTGCTACCAAGGTGTCCCTCTGCCATGGTTCTCATGTGCCTAAATTATGTGGTGGGGAAGAGGGAATTTTGTGATGTGCATCCTCTCTGACCCCTCCCCGGCCTACACACTATTGCCCCCAAGTTCCCTGGTCTTCACCCCCTCGCCCACGTGAACCTTAGATTAGGGTTTGGGTGGGGACCGAGGATGTGCCACAGAAGGGGGCGTGTCTCTCTGTGGAGTGTCTCTTCCATGTGTGGCTTAGGGAAGCTGATCCTACCCAGGGTACGTTTAAGTGAATTTCAGTGCCAGTTTACAAGAGAATTCCAATTACTTATTACTGGCTAAATTAAATCCTGCTATGTCAGTATAAATCGGGAATAATTTCGCTGAAGTTAGTGGAGATGGGTCTGGATTTACACTGGTGTAACTGAGAGCAGAGTTTGGCTTTATTCCACTTGAGTGCCTGCCTCGATGAGTTCAGGCTGTAAGATTTGCACCCACATCTATTTTGATTTTTTCCAAACCTATGTGCATTCCGAAACCCAAATACACTGTCTTAAAAAAGAAAAAAGAAAAAAAAGTTGTGACTACAGTGTACTTCTCGATCACATTCTTCGGCAGTTTGCAACCAAAGCACAGCAACTTGTGCTGGTGTTTGGGGCTAACTGATTTTCATTGTGCAAGCTGCATGAAATGTAAAAAAGCAAGCAGCATGGCTGGTAAAAAATAAATTAGATTTTAAAAATTCCGTGGTAATAATCTGAAGTATAAACTGAAATACAGTTAACAGAATTTGTTTTTTAAATGTACTGGTCTGGTTCTGTCCCTGACAAGATCTATCTCACTATCTTCACTCAGAATTGCATTTTTAGCAGAATTGGCCTATGAGCCAGATCCTGAGCTGGTGTAAATGAGCAATGGGTCACACCAATTTATACAGCTGAGGATCTGGCCCTGAGACTTTTAATTAATCAGAGAACAGCCCTTTGATATTTATTACTATAGATACCAAAGAAAATATAATAAAACTAATATGCTACTGATTATAAAATGTTGCCAGAAGCTGGTGAATGCATCATGACATCAGCTGAGCTGAGCACATCCTTACATTTCACTGATTAGTGTGATGTGTTATGGAAATGTAGTGAGAAAGGTGTGATGAAGAACCAGCATACTAGGAGTTAACGTATGAGCTGGTGTTGGTAAATATGTGGGGGATGGACTTCATCTTTCCAAGACCTGTGGGAAAACAGGTTGCGTAAAGTTTGTGCTTTGTTTTTGGAAATAACTGGAGAGCTATAAATATTGAGAAATATACAGTGATGGACTTACTATTCTTCATATGTCATTTAATCGCATATGTTATCAATAAAAAGCAATTTTAGCACATATAAAATTTTATAACTGATGTATGAAATCCTAAGTGCAGTGAGTTATGTTAAAATATATTTAGACAGGCAGATATCTTAACTGTTATGGAGAAACTAGTTTATGAGATTCATTAATCATAATGCTGTGTGGTGCCATGACTTCTGGAAATTTAAAATACAAGGAGCAAGATTTTCAGTTGTGTATCTAGGTACTAACATGGCCCCACAGCAGGCCACAGTAACTAGTGGATTTTATCAAGACCCTGGGAGGTAGGGAAGTATTAGCCCCACTTTACAGAAAGGAAACTGAAGAACTGGCTAGATATAGTGATTTGCTGAGCCAGGAATAGGACCCAGGTCTCCCAAGTCCCAGTCTATTGCTCAGCAAACGAGACTATCCTTCCTACTCATCCTGAATTCAATGGAGATACATCAGTGTACATCAGCTGTAGATCAGGCCTGTAACCTTTGCAGAATGATTCCAAGTTCAAAGAGAAGAATTAGTGTGGTTTACCATGTTTCTTTTCCCAACACACTGAGGGAATCACAGTGATCTGTGCTACAGCTCCTAATCAGACAGCCTGTATTTAAAAAAAAAATAGAGAGAGAGCATCCAGCAGTTGTTTGCCAAGCCCACTATTCTGTAGTAAGCTCCACATGGGCACAGGGCTCCATCTACGCAGAGCCATATAAAGAATCATGCCCGGAATCATGAACATCTTGATTTTCAAAAGATGCTGTGCAGCTGCATCTTTGAAAATCAGGCCATACAATGATGAATGACTAGCGGATTGAATGAACCTTTTTCCCCCTCTGCGTTCCTCTGAGACAATTACTTATCAGCCTAGCTGCTCTGCTTTTCCATTCTCGTTCTGGTAGGATCTGGTTGGGAGCAGGACCTTCTCAGTTCAGCGTTCCTTTTCATGGAACTCCCAGGCCTCGGGTGCTGTCCTCTCCTTGCTGCTTTATGATCCCCGAACGGGCCGTCTTGTCCGGTGAAATCCCTTGCTACGCTGTTCAGTGAATCTGTGACCATTTAAATTTAAGTTCCCTTTCCCCAGCTCTGGATATTTTCTCCCTCTTTCCCCATAAACTCCTCTTTTGTTTTTGTGTGCCCCATCTTCTTTTGTTTGTTCAGGGGAGTGACTCTCTCTGCTTTGTTCTGTCTCTAGCTCCTCCTTTCTCATGCTCTACAGAGCTAGAAGCAGAATAGTGAGTTACCCAGCTCATCAGCCATGACAGGTTGCTTATTGGTTCTCCCCGTAACTTGCTCATGTTGAGAGAAGAGGGTCAGTGGGGATTCTGTGCTGCCGTGGCTCTCTTAATTCAAACACATGCTGTTCCATGATTCTTCCCTCTCTCCACTGCAGCCCAGGGCCTGTTCCTGCTCTCTCCCTCCCACAGGGACCAATTCTGTGTAGCTTGTAACCTGCACACATCTTCTGTACTCATTCTTTTGCTTTCAATCCCACCACGACCTAAGCCTCGGCATGCAGACACACACACACAGCCACTTCCTCTTCCTTGGGATTTCCGTATGACCAGTAAAGCAATCTACATTACATCAGTATGATACCTCTGGCTAAATAATAGGGGCCGCACCACTTACACTATGTCAAAGTGAAAATAGCAAGTTTTATTGATATGGGTTTGACTTAGTGTTCCAAAGAGAGGTTTTCCAACAGATTATCTACTGAAACTGCCTCAGATGCATGGAAAGTCCTGAAGACAAATATGTACAATGTGGCAATCAAGAGCTTTGGAAAGAATACTAAAAAAAGTCTGGTGGTTTGTAGACCACTTGGAGATACTGCTGCCACTCGATGAGAGGAAAAGATCACCTACAAAAGTCTGCTCCTACTACTGATTCACTCAACAACCTAAAAGAAGCTCGTAAGGTTGTTCAGATAGTTTCTAGGAGGTGTGCTCAAGAATTTTGGCTGGGTCTCTATGACAGCGTCCAATAGGCGGCTGATGCAGGTGACAGTAGATGGTTATATGAGGGCATTAGAAAGTCCATTTGTCCGATAAAGAACAAGACAGCTCCGCTGAAAGATCTGGATGGCAATAGCTTAGCTGATAAAGGGAAGCAACTGGAGAGGTGGATTGAGCACCATGGAATGATATACTCAAGGGAGTCTGTAGTAGACCAACGTGTGTTAGTGGAAGTGCCTGGGTTTGAAGTTATGACTTTGCTGGATGCCAAATCTACTCTAGAGGAACTTGAACAAAACATCAAAAAGATTCCCAACCACAAAGCTTCAGGATCTGACTGTTTACCTGATGAAATCTATAAATGTGCAAACAAAGACTTGCTGCAAAGATTACACAAGGTACTGCTACTCTATTGGAAGGAAGAAACTGTTCTGCAAGATTTTAAGGATGCTCGCTTCATCCAACTCTATAAAATTAAAGAAGCCAGAAGTTATTGTAATAACCACAGAGGTATATCTCTTCTTAACATTGTGGGGAAAATCTTAAGCTGTATTCTTTTACCTAGACTTCAAACTTTAGCTGAGAGAATCTCTCCTGAGAGCCAGTGTGGCTTCAGTTTGGGAAGGTCCACCATAGACATGGTCTTCTCTGTAAGACAACTGCAAGAAAAGTGCAGAGAGAAGCGTATTCCACTGTACATGGCTTTTATAGATTTAACAAAAGCCTTTGACATGGTTAGTTGGTTAGGGCTTCAGAGTGTTCTGACGAAGCTTATATAATGAAATCCTTACACCGTGGCATGAAGGCAACTGTAATGTATGAAAACCAAAAGTCTCACTCGTTTAACATCAATAATGGAGTGAAGCAGGGTAGAATATGAGCTTCTACAGTGTTTAATATTTACTTTTCTTTCCTGCTTCCACATGCATTCTGTGACGTTCAAGAGGGTGTCTATCTTAGCACTAGACATGATGGAGGTTTGTGGCTCATAATGTTTATGCCCTACAACATCTTATTACCAAGTTCTCTGATTCATGCAAAATCTTTGGGCTAGCACTAAGCTTGTAGAAGGCTATCATGCACCAAAGCTCTTCAGAACCAGTTCCAGATATCACCTTAGATGTTATTCATCTGAACGTTATTTACCAGTTTTGCTACTTTGACGCTACTGTTACCAGCAATGTAGATCTTGATGCTGAGCTCACTAGTAGAATCAGCAAAGCATCCAAGAACTTTGATCTTTTGCAAGATAGAGCCTAGATAACAAATAACAAATTGTCAACTAAAGTGAAAATCTGTATTTATGACTGATGACAAATATGCCATAAGACTAAACAGCTTTGATATAGATGCTTGCATAAAATTCTTTGAATAAGATGGCAAGACAGGGTGACAAATGTGAAAGTGTTAAATCATGGTGGTATGTCATTCTTGGGAACATTGATTTGTAAGAAAAGACTCAGGAAGCTTGGACGTGTCAAGTTAATGGTGGATTACTGGATCCCAAAGAGTGTGCTGTACTCTGAAGCTCACAAAGGGACTAGAAAGAGAGGCAGAGTGCTGCACAGATTTTGAGATGTGTGCAAAGATCACTTCGTATCTGCAGATGATTGGAAAAGGAATGCAGAATGCTGCTCTGTTTGCTAGAGTCAGCTTGTAGATGGAGCAAGGCATTCTGAGGCGGACTGGATCAAGCTTTTGTGATGACCAGGGACAGAGGAGGAAAGAATCTGCTGCTCAGATTCAGATCATTGCTAGTGCAGGGATGTACCCTACCTGTGGATGGGAGTGTCACTCTCACATCAGACTCAGCAGTCATCAAAGAACTCATCAGCACATACACCATGCTCTGTAAAGAGCAACAGTACCATTGATTTACTGAGGGATTCCAGAGTACTATAAGATAGAGTAGATGTTACTCAGTAAACTAATTCAAAATGCTGATACTCCATCCCTGACCTGGCAACCTACTCAAATACATACTTAAATTCAGCCCAGGACTTCAGCAGGTGCCTAGCTATAAGCACATGCTTTAATCCCTTTGAGTGCAATGGGATTTAAAGATGTGTTTCAAGTTAAGCACATGTCTAAGTCCTGTGCTGAATAGGGATGGATTCTGAATTAAATCTTTTAATCACATGCTTAGCTCTGGGACATCTCATGCACTTAAAATTAAGCTCATGTGTTAAGTGCTCTCCTGATATAACATGTTTGTATTTTGCTGAACTTTTTCTCTCACTAAAATGGATTCCCTAATTCATCTCCATGTAAATTCAGTTCCTGCACCTTTTTTTCTTAATTCTACTAAATCTGTTTCCTTTGGGACAATGCACGATGACTGAAATTTGTACAAATACTGCATGGTCTTAGTAAATTTCTAACTCTGAATGTATTTACAACACTACAGCATGAAGAAGATATATAGATTTAATTACCTTTTTTTTAATTGCACAACACTCTTCAGAGATTAACTGAAACTGGCAACATTGCTGTTGTAGTCATTTCTTAACCTGGAGGTTACTGTAATGTATAGCAGGGATGTCAGGAAAAATGAAGCTACATGATGATGTAGGAATACACAGAGCATATATCTCAATCAGTAAATTGGGATTTTATTGTTTATTTCAGCACAAAACACTCTTTGGGCTTGGATCAGAACACTTGGGAAAGCGAAAATACCCTCCTTTAGTATCTGTTCTGTATTTAATATATTTTTCACGCCACTAAACACAGATTGGATACAGATCTACCTACAAATATAGAAATATATTCTGCTTAGCAAAGAAATAAAACATGGCATTTGGTCTCTAATTAGAGAAGGCAGCATTTGAAATCTTACTATGTCAGGGTTTCATTGTTCTTTTGTGACCCGGGAGTCTTTTATTTTTATTAAAATAACTAATTTTGAGTTTCTTAAGAAATGTATGAAATCAATTCTACCTATTTGATTTGAATTAAATGTATCTGTTGGCTCTAACTGTAGGTGTGTTTAATGCTCGAATTTTATCAAAGAGGAAGTACAAAACACATTGTTAATGCCAACTGCAAATCAAATGGCTATGGAGAAGATTAAAACAACTCAGAACAAGTGTTGGTAGTCTGACCCATGCACATAGTGCCCATTGGCCATTGTTTTTCCCCAGCATAAGGACTGCTTTGTGTTTAGCTGGCCCACTAGGAGCATCACCCCAGTGCAAAGGGGACCCTCTAGTGGCACAGCATGGAACTGGTGTAGCAGTACTCCCATGCCACCATCCCTCCATGTGGTCAGTATGGGAACATGGTGGGTTAATGAGGAAGTGGTCAGGGCATCTCAGCACACTGGCCATCCATGGATGTTATAATGGCTTCTCAGGGCCATTAGCAGTCTCAGTAATTTAGAGCAGCCTTCCTTTGCTAACTTATCCCCCAACTCTCTGACTTCCGCTTTGTGCTGCTCAGTGCTGTTGAAAATATAGTCCATTTTCTTCAGTAAAGCTTCACTGGGTATCTAAGGTGCACAAGGGTCTGTGTTGCCTTTTATGTGCATGTATAGCTCCCAACAAAGCCATTGCATTATGCAGAAGTATTGAGGGGTGATTAGACATCCAGAGCCTGATCTTACACTGACTACTCCTGATTTATTCTGATGTAAATGAGAGCGTCATCAGGCTCCCCACCATATGTGAAATAGTTAATCCAAATATTTCTATACAGCTCAGGATGGCAGAACCACAAAACACATATGTATGCTTGAATCTGGACTGCTAAAAGAGCCATTATCTTGTGGAAATGTGGGCTTTCCTAGAGAAATCCATTTTAGCTGTTTCCTCTGGCATGATCCTGTGAACTGGCTTTTCTACTTTGGAGGGTGGTTCTTATGCACATGAAGTCCTGTCTCATTCAATGCTATCAGTTGTTGAGTCCCAGAACTGAACAGCACAAAAATCTGTACTTGCATAACCATGAAAAGATTAAACAGATTGCTCATTACCCTGAAAAACGAAGAGTTTCCACCTGTACTTCCTTTTGTGTGGTGCGCAAAGCCATTTTTTCCTATTGTTTTCTCATATACATAAGAGCTGACCTGTATTTACAACTCATTCATTCCATATATGGATATGGTAGATTTCAAGTCCATAGAATTTATTTTTAGCATGTTGTTGTATTTGCTGCATTTGTAATTGTAATTTTTGTTTGAAGCTATCTTAGGAAAAAGCTCTTCAACCACCAGCCTTGATGTTTTTCAGTAATGCATTGACATATTTTTAATTGTATCAGTACTTTGGAAAATCTCATGATAGTTTTCCTCATTTGTTTTCTGAGATAATCCTGTGCATGTGCTTGATGACCCTTTCTTTCAAATAATTTTTACTTTTTTCTCATTTCTTTTCCTCATTTGCCTGAATTCCTGCTTCTCCCCCACCCCCAACCTCTTCTGATTGATGCTTATTCTCCCCGGCCTATTCCAGTTCTCTGCCTCTGAAAGCTTCAAAGAATGACAAATCCAGAAGTTTGAAAAAAATCTCTCGGTAAGAATGAAAACAAGGTGACATATTTTGTTGTCTCTTTGTGTAACTCATCCAAATTATAAGGCTCTTGGTTCCATTACCAACTCTGATCTAGGAAAGACAGATGTTTGAATACAGCTACTTTAGAAATCAATAATGGTTTATTACCATGTGAACCATTGGAAAATACAATTTTCCTATTAAAATTTAAATAGTTTTCCTTTGTAAGAAATGAAAACAGTAGAAATCAACACGTAATTTTATATTTGCTAAGATATTATTTTGAGACTTTGTGTTTATGTATGTACAACATAAACTGAAATCTTTCAAGAATACCAAAGGACTTTACAGCTTTGGGAAAACAGGGTTAAGATGAACACTTAGAACACTTAGAAGAGTGCATTTTGAGAGAGCAGTGTGTTTGGTAGACTGACCAACCTTCAAGCTAGGCATCTCTGCAACCTTCATACAATGGATAGCCCTTAAGGCGATCCTATGGGGGCAGGTAGTGATGTATCTAAGTCATAGGTTTACTACTTATTTAATTACTGCACCAAGCAGAGAGAAAATGTTTGAGGAGGAGGAAAGGGAGAGGCAGAGGTGCTCATTCCATGCTTGTGAACCCAAAGTGACTGCACAGTTCTGCTAAAATGACATGAATAGGCTCAGATCATATCTTCCTTAGAACCAAATGATTGCCCTCATGTTAAAACTACACCAGCTGTGTCCCTGCTAGGCTTTAACCATGTGTTAGTTACCCCATAGTAGCTAAAACTTGGTTGTAAAACCTCTTATTTCCTAGTGAAAACTAGGCCTAAGAAGGGCTAGAGGAAAAGGAATCCATCCCCCAAACCCATGGTTTGGCAGGAGTGGGTGTCTAGTGACTCTGCTGTGTTTGCTACATCCTGGGGAGTTGAGTCTTGCTAAAGGCCCCCTTTGTCCCCAACATAGTAACAAATACCTTGACAACTCCCGTGCAGTGCGACCCACCATATCACCAAACCCCTTGTCCATGGAATGTCGCCCTATACAGCCTGCCCCCTGGAAGCAATTGAACCAGAATGGTTTTGTTGTCTTTCCACACTGCAGTGTTGATGGCATGGGAGAGCAGGAATAGCAACAACTGACCTTTAGAGCGCTAGTTTCAGTTTTTGTGCATGGCTTTGCATCATGTCCAGAACAGTATTTTCATAGCACCAAGGCTTAGACATGAAGGGTACCAGTTAGGAGTACCTAAGGTTACAGAAATAGTTCCCATAATCTCACTCCTTGGAATTCTAAACACAGAGAAATACTCTGGTATCTGAGGTAAAGCTGTGGTCATGTGGGTAAACATTTATTTTATATGGTTACCTCAGTAAGACAGGTATAATCATGTATTAGGACATCAGCTGGTTACCCCTGGGAAGGAATTTTTCCCTCCATTCAACATCAGACAACAGGCTCTTTGCACTATCCAGACTTTTTGTTTTTCCTCCAAAACATGAAGCACAGGCCACGACTACTGGCAGGGCACCAGACTTGATGAGAGGGAGCATCCTTTTTAAGACAAAGCTGACATGGAAGGCAATGGTGGGGTGGTGCTAACCCCCTCTCAACAAGGTTGGCTTTTCTACACTTGAATTGTATGTTCAAGTCACCTAATGGAGGACTGCATGGTTGGTTATAGGTAGCCTTTTCCATCCAGTAATAGCACTGACAGCATCTTAATTAATCACTCCCTGGCTGGGGGGAAGGGTAAAAATATTGACTTTTAGTTATAGACAGAACACATCCATTTAACAGAAAACAAATAATGTTTTCTCTGTTGATACAAAAGCTTTAAATGAATTTTTCAATCCATGTGGGATGCACTAATGCTGTTTGTTAACGCTACCTTTTAAACACAATGTAATCTATTAATGCTGTGGTAAATAGGGATGGAGGATACATCAACAACAGGAATACACTTTAAACAAGAGCAAATTAACTTTGCTAGATTTTTTCTTTTTGAAAGGGATGCAAACTTTTAATTTTACAGAACCATGAACCAAAGATTTAACTTACCCCAGGAATTCACTGCTCTGCTGTTAATTTCTTCTCTTCCTAATTTGTAGAGAGTTCATCAACTACATGAAACGATCCCGAACCTTTTATGCCTCTATAGCAGAAAGGCTGTGTGATGGGGACCTGGTGATGCGGGACAGCTCGACTTGCTGGAATGGAGAGGATGTTGTGGAAAGGTAATTGAGAGAGTCAAATTTTGTACTGAAGATGGACATATTTATGTAAACAAAACTGGCTTTCCAGATCCTCCTGGTGCTTTAAAAAGCTCTGTATTAGATATGATGCATTGTCTTGAAATGACATGTTACTTTATATACTAGAAGCAGTTTAATGACCTTCATGATCCTTAAATATCTGATCATTTTATTAACCCATGAGATTGCGCTAATGGGGTCTTCAAATAGTGTTGTATAATCTCTATGAGGAAAAAAAGCGTTTTGAATTATAATGAATTATACAGTGAACTGAAACACTTTCCAAAGAAGACTGAATAACACTGATTTTGGGCCCACTTTTCACACACTGAAGCCCTACAATAACTTGCTGATCCAGTTGCAGATCTTCCTTGCTGGGAGAATAAGGGTCATGCTTTTAACAGTAAGGGCGGGGGCACGCTAGGTCCAGAAATACCAGATCATGCTGTCTTGATCTTTTTTTAACCTGCATACCAGTAAAGCTTTTCAATGGGGTTAAGTTGGTTGCTTTGAGTCTTGAAAGTAAGAAGAAAGAAGGAAATGGTGCAGCTGTGGTACGTAGGTCATTCTGAGTGTGCAGACTACTTAGTTTTATAAGCAAAATGGGAGGGCAAAGAGTATGTACCACAATTGTTAATTAGACTCCTAAAGTATGCCTATACTGCAATAAACCCCTCACAACTGGCTCAGGTCAGATGTCTAGGACTCACAGGGCTCAGGCTGCATGGGTGTGAAATTGCAGTGTAAATGTTCAGGCTTGAAGTGGAGCCTGAGTTCTGGGACCCTCTGCCTTCATAGGATCCCAGGGTTCCAGAATGTCTACACCGCCATTTTATAGCCCCACAGCCCAAGCCCCACAAGCCTTAGTCCATTGACATGGGCCAGCTGTGGGTGTTTCACTGCAGTGTAGACATACCCCTAGAGTTTAATGAAGTTGGTAGGGTAGGAATGGAACTTTCAGTTGGATCTCTCTATTTCTCACCTTGGATCCTTTCATACCCAGTCTGCCCCCTTCTGGTGGCATAAGTATGTGCTTCTTTGACCTCTTAAACACTATGGCCCCATGTGTTTGTGTAAAACAAAACAAAAGCCTTGTCAGCAGACAACAATATTTCATTTCCTAGGCACAATTATTGCTATAATTGCTGAAGTCTGCACTGGCTTCTAGGTAATGGTGGATCCAAGACTTTTGTTCACACTACAGAGAGGACATGAACACTTTTAAAGCTAATGAGGGTCCAGATGGAGGCCCCAACCCTGCAATATGTTGTGCCTAGTCAGATTGCTGCACCCCTGCACACCATGTTGAAGCCAGCCATAAAAGTCAACTCATCCATGTGCTTCACATTACAGGATTGGGGTTCACAGGCTCTATCGTGCCCCTGTACTGTGGAGGTAGTGCAGCTCCAGGTCCTGTGCGCCATCTTCCCTCTGCCCCTTCCAGTCCATGCAGGGCTGGGTGTAAACTTGCCCTCACATTTAGTGAGAAAACTTCCAAACCGATGAAAGCAAATAACCGGAGCATTACAGAGACTGGTTGATTGAAAGCATAACACCGGTTTCATTTTGTGTACTCTCTGAGTAACTGTGGAACTACGGTAAGATGAGGCCATGCTATGTTTCAGATGAAGCTGAGATACTGGTATCAGCAGCTACCGTCAGGGGACAGGCAGACTAATGTAGATGGATTATTTGTTTCTTTGGAGAATTTGACATTGCATGAAATGGTTTGGTTTTAATCCGAAATATGAGTGGTTCAACCTGTAACATGACAAATGTGACAAATTCAGTTACAGAAATCTAACAAGCACCTCCCACTGAAAAATGACTTGCTATGGTTGTAAAGCGCTTTTCTGTGCTGCGCTCTGATGGCATTACAGTACACACACACATTCAGCATGTTGATGTGCAGCATCTTCAAGACGTGTTTTCTTGAAGCTTGTTCCAATGTTTAGAGCCTTTTGGAATTCTTTGCAGATATTGTTAGTCGGAGTGCTGCTAAAGGGGCACCGCTAGAGCAAGGCCTCTGAAATAATTACGGATGGATAGTCAAGGAGCAGGAATAATGTCTTGGATTCCTGAAGGGAATGCCCTGTACTGCAAGAGTAGCTTGTACTCCACCAGGTTTGCTCTGATGCTAAGCTACTTGTTCAGAGATGGAGAGGGGGCAGGGCTATGGCCTCAGAAACATCCTGGCCTGGCTTGTCCTCTTGGACCCTGAAGTGCCATGATCTGTACAAGATGGTCTCCTGCTTTCCAGTGCTCAGGGAGCACTAGCAACAAAACTATGTTTCTCTCATTTTTAGTAGCCCAATCCTGCCCTCAACTCTTGCTGGAGGGGCATGTGGTGTAGGTAAAGAGATGCAGAGGGCACTCTTGGGCCGGCAAGCAGTGTGGCATCAACAAGAGAGCAGCCTAAAACCTATTCTGAATTATGCCAGCTACCAACAGCCCTGACAGGTCATAATGGGATTCAGCAGGCAGGAAAGCATAGGGAAGCTCTGGTAGTGCCTGTTCACCCCAGACATCCCCTCTATTCCAGCAGCAGGGAGAGGGTGAGTGCTGGGAAGACTGGCTCCTATGCCACTGGATGATCCATGCGAACCAGAACTGCTGGGCTCTCCCTGCAATGGGAGCTGCTCAGGGTGCAGCACCAACTTTAGGCTCCTATTTTTGAAAACCTTGGCCTTAATCCCAAGTGAAATACATTAGGTGAGAAAAATACTTTAGGAATTTGTAGTTCTTTAATATTCTTCATTTGTTCCTCAGGTAATATGAACCAGCTGAAGTCTTTGTACTGAAATTCAGAGTTGGATATTTAGTTGAATACTGCATGCAATTGTGGTCGCCCCATCTCAAAAAAGATATATTGGAATTGGAAAAGGTTCAGAAAAGGACAATAAAAATGATTAGGGGTATGGAACGGCTTCCATATGAAGAGAGATTAATAAGACTGGAACTTTTCAGCTTGGAAAAGAAATGACTAAGGGGGGATATGACAGAGGTCTATAAAATCATAACTGGTGTGGAGAAAGTAAATCATCATCATCATGTTCCTATTACGCTTCTGGCATTTAGGGCAGCGACGAAGCTCCTCCACTCCTGTCTGTTTCTGGCAGTGGTTCCCCAACTGTGCCCCAGGTTTTTCAGCTCGGCTTCCACAGCTCTTTGCCATGATGTTTTCGTGCAACCTCATTTTTGCTTGCCTTCAGGTTTCCATCTTATTGCTACTCTGGTGATGGAATCAGTTTCCATCCGAAGCACATGACCGATCCATCTTCAACGCCTCCTGGCAATGATGATGCTCAGACCCTCTTGGCTGCACTGTGTCAATAGATCTTGGTGTTCTGGGCCAACATATGTGGAGGGTTTTTCTGAGGCAGGTTGTATGGAATGAAAACAGTTTGGACATGTCATACTTTCTCATTCCCCAGCATTCTTCACTGTAAAGTAGTGTTGAAAGTATACAGCGCTGACAAATCTTGAGTTTGTTTTTGGTGGTGTATTTTGATGATTTCCAGACTGTATTTAAGCTCCTGAAGGTGTTCCTGGCTTTATTGATTTTGTTCGGGATGTCCTGGCTTGTTCCACCATCAGGGTGCTACCCAACTATGTGAATGTTTCTACATTGGTGAGAACATAATCCTCTATGCATACTGGTGATGGTGAGGCAATATTAAGGGCCATGATGTCTGTCTTATTGTGGTTGATTTTCAGTCCAATTTGCTGGCTGAATGCATTGAGTCGAGTTGTTTTTTCTTGTATATGGTGTTGGATATGTGATAGGAGAGCGACATCATCTGCAAAGTCCAGGTCTTCAAGGGATGAGAAGTGTGTCCATTTAATGCCTCTTGGCATGTCTTCTGTTGTACGCTGCATTACCCAGTTGATGGCAATGTTGAAGAGGATTGCAGACATGACACACCCCTGATGTACTCCTGTTTTGACTTCAAAACTGAGTTCACTGTGATCAACACTGCATGTAAAGTTGAAATAGGAGCTTTTGATGACGTTGATTATATGGAAAGGAATTCCATATGCCTGCAGAATGCACCATAGGCTGGTCCTGTAAATGCTATCAAAAGCGTTGCCATTGCCATTCTAAGCACTGTTTTATTACGTTTTGTAGAGTGAAGATGTGGTCTGTGCATCCACACACTTTCCAAAAATCAGCTTGCTCTTTTCTGAGAATGCTATCGAATAAGGAGGTGTTATTTATTCCTTCTCATAACACAAGAACTAGGGGGTCACCAAATGAAATGAATAGGCAGCAGGTTTAAAACAAACCAAAGGAAGAATTTCTTCACAAACACACAGTCAACCTGTGGAATTTTTGCCAGAGGATGTTGTGAAGGCCAAGACTATAACAGGGTTAAAAAAAGAACTAGAAACATTCACAGAGAATAGGTCCATCAAGGGCTGTCCCTAGCCTCTGTCCCTGGCCCTCTGTTTGCCAGAAGCTGGGAATGGGCAACCAGGGAAAGGATCACTTGATGATTACCCATTCTGTTCATTCCCTCTGGGGCACCTGGCACTGGCCACTGCTGGAAGACAGGATACTGGGATAGGTGGACCTTTGGTCTGACCCAGTGTGGCCATTCTTATGTTCTAGTTTGGTTTTTGCACTGCTCAGCCATTACTAGAAATTTGCAAGTCTGCACACAAAAGTGTCATAAAAGTAAAGTGATTGGGATACAGTTTTTTAAAGGAGCTCATGAAAGCGCTTTTTAATCCCAGAAAGAAAGACTCAGAAGAGCCCATATAAAGAGATCATCCAGCATGGAAACAGGCAGAGAGCTATGTCATGTGACAGTATATTTACTTTTGTTAACTGTAAAAGCGATGGAAAAAACAGTTATTTTAGTCTCTCCCCTCTCGTCCCAGCCCAGTGAAATCAATGCTGTAGAATGTGCTTCGCTCTCTCTGTGGGACTCTTTCCAATGTCATTTCTGGTGCTCTGCGTATGAAGATTTTACAGAATA